GATGCCGTCATCGTCGTCGGTGTGATCAGCATCGGCGCCGTCAATGGCTGCCCCGTCGTGGCTGCCAGCATCGTCACCACCATCGCTACTATCATCATCGTGTCTCCCGTTGTCGGCGTGGCCATGAAACCGCGCCCGCCCAAATCGCCGACTCGCACTGAAGTGCCCGGTGGGATGTGCCGCGTGGTTAGCGCCACCGCGTTTGCGTCGGTCGCGCCAAACTAGCTGGCCGCTGGGCGCGCGCGAGAATGCGCGGGCTAGCACGGCCGCAGAAATGCACCAGCCAACACCAAGCACTCATCGCAATCGCCGCCGCATGGGTTTTGCAAACCAAGTTGCGGGTGGGTGGGTGCGACGACTGCGCGAGCAGTGGAGTTGACTACTTCAAGTTCGGCAAGTGAACTGCCCACTTAGAGCGTCGTCGTCGTCGTTGTCGCTGTCGTCGTCGGCGTCGCTGTCGCTGCCAACTGCCATTTGGTACCCACCGTCACGGTCTTAAGAGATTTTGCAAACCAAGTTGCGGGTGGGTGGGTGGGATGTTTGCGCGAGCAGTGGAGTGGGTAACTTACTGCGAACAGAAATTAATTGCACCACATATATTGCACCACGCGGACTGCAGAGCAGAGGTTGCACCACATTTTTTGCACAACGCTGATTTATTGGACGAATAGCAGGATTGGGTCTACCCCCATTCCCCCATTGCTACCCGCACCCCGCAGGGATATGCAAATTACATACGATATTGCCCCCTCGTCCCTTCTGGATATGAGTTCATATCATCCTATCCAAACAGGTATCGACGCCCCCCCGTCGCCCTCGTCAAGTCAAAGTGTGCGCGCACGTTCGCTCATCCAAAAAAAACGTTTTTGAAAATGACTTGCACCAAAAATTTGGTCAAGTCTACGCGCGCGTCGTCGCGCGCATGCCGACATCCTTCCAAAACCTTAGGTGTCGCAAGGGATTAGAAAAATTGCGGTTGTGCAACATGGTGTTTAAAAGAAGTTTGCGCGCGATCGCGAATGCTTCAAAAAATCAACGGGTTCCCGAAAGGCGACCAAGCGGGCCTGTCGCGCGCACGTGTCGAAGTCACTCCGACGCCCTTTGCGCGTTTGTTGGGGGCGGCGTTCCCAGGCAAAGAATACCACGTGGGTTTTTCGCGCGCGTCGGCCGCGCGCCCGTGCCGAAAGCTTTCCTTTAGGTAGCCAAGTATCATCACCGACACGTGGACACCATCACCGTCATCGGCGAGATGCCGTCATTGGCCTTGCCACCGTCAGTGTAATTATGGGCACGCGCATCACTATTATTATTGTGTTTGCTGTTGTCGACCTCGCCATGACACCGTGCCCGCCCGAACCACCGACTTGGACTGAAGTGCCGGCGCGCCAGCGCGGGCTGCGAGACGCGCTGCGAAAACCCCAGCGGTCAGCGCCACCGCGGCCGCGGCGGTCGCGCCAGACTAGCTGGCCGCTCTGCGCGCGAGCCTGCGCGCGCCAGCGCGGCCGCAGCGATGCACTAGCCAGCGCCAAGAAGTCATTGCAATCGCCGCCGCATGAGTTTTACAAACAAGATGCGGGTGCGCACGTGGGATGATTGTGCGAGCAATAGAGTTGACAATTACAAGATCGGCACGGTGAATTGCACCACACAGATTGCTCCGTATAGGTTGCACAGCATAGACTGTGCGAAACGCATTGTTTGGGGACCACATTGGCGAACATTGGGGGAAGCGTTATCCATCCCCGTAACTGCTGCAAAGAATTAAGACTAAGGCTAATGTGCGCGGCGCTGACGCGAGAAGTCCATTTTGAAATCGGCACCCATCCATCCTCAAAATTGCTGCAAGCATGTAAGACGAATCCATGCGGCGCTAAGTCGAGAGCCACAATTTGCAAAAGATCCCCATCTCCATCCATGTAACGATTGCAAGTTCCAAGCTTCAGGATCATGAGTGGTGAGGAAGGCTCTGGCGAAACGCTTGGCCCACCCTACCGACACGGTTGGGGGGGGCGACAGGGAGGAGTTTTCTATGTGACCCAGCATGGACCCCTAACAATGATGTTTTGCAACGTGCGCGGTGTAATCCAGGTGGGTGCAGTGACTTTGGTGTAATTTAGGTGGTGCAATTTGTGTGGTGTTAGTTAATTTCTGTTCGCAGTGAGTTGTCCATTCCACTGCTCGCGCAAACATCCCACCCACCCACCCGCAACTTGGTTTGCAAAATCTCTTACGACCGTGACGGTGGTACCAAATGACACTTGGCAACGACAGCGACGCCGGCGACGACAGCGACAACGACGACGACGCCGCCGACAACGACTACGACTACACCGACGACGTCTCCAACGACTTCGACGACGCCGACAACGACGACGACGACGACGCCGACGCCGACGCTGACGACGACGACGACGACGACGACGATGACGACGACCACGACGATGACGACGCCAACGACGACGACAACGACGACACCGACGACGACGACGACGACGACGTCAACGACGCCGACGACGACGACGACGACGACGACGACGACGACGCCGACGCCGACGCCGACGCCGACGACGACGACGACGTCGACGATAACAACGACGACGACGATGACGACGCCGACGACGACGACAACGACGACACCGACGACGACGACGACGACGACGTCAACGACGCCGACGACGACGACGACGACGACGGCGGCGACGACGACGACGACGCCGACGACGACGACGACGACGACGACGACCGACGCCGACGACGACGACTAAGACGACGACGACGTCGCCAACGAAGGCGACGACGAGGGAGTAGGGAGGACGACGACGGCGACAACGACGACAACGGCGACAACGACGAGGGAGGAGGGAGGACGGCGACGACGTGAACGACGAAGAAGGAGGAAGGACGGCGACGCCGACGACGACAACGACGAGGGAGGAGGGACGACGACGACGACGACGACGACGACGACGACGACGACGACGACGGACGACGACGAGACGACGACGACGACGACGACGACGACGACGACGACGACGACGACGACGACGACGACGACGACGACGACGACGACGCGACGACGGCGACGAAATAGGAGGGACGACGACGAGACGCCGACGACGACGACGACGACGACGACGAGGGAGGAGGAGGAAGGACGACCACGGCGACAACGACGACGGAAACGACCACGACGCCAAAGAGGACGACGACGACGAACACGAGGAAAGGCAGAGGACGACGTAGGCGACGACGACGACGACGACGCAGGAGGAGGGAGGACGGCGACGACGATGTTGAAAATCCGTGTTGCGAAACCCGGTGTTTTTGTAGGTTTTTTGGACACACGATTTTGAAATCCTTTCGAAGCCGATGGGATTGGAAGGATTTCGGCATACGCGCGCGACGACCCGCGCGTCTGCACTTCGGCCCAGGTTTTGCATATGATTCTCGCGACAGCACACGCGCAAGGGCGTTCGACAGATTTCTACATGCGCGCGCGCGAAGTCCGTTTGGTAGCATGTTGTGAAAATCTTGAAAAAATATGGTTTTCCAAAGATTTCGCAAGAGCTCGCGTAAGCTTCTTTAGCAAATCAGTGTTGCGAAACCAAGTGTTTTTGTATGTTTTTGGGAAACTCGATTGCGAAATCCTTCCGACACCGAAGGTTTTTGAAGGATTTCGGCATGCGCGCGCGACGACGCGCGCGTGTGCACTTCGTCCCATTTGTTGCAAGGGATTCGCGAAAAAGTCTTATGTTAGAACAAATGTCCCCGCGTATTGTTTTTTACAAAGGAACCTCAGGGGGAGCGATACCGGCCCCTCTGGGATTGTGTAAATTCATATTTAGGATGGACATGTGGTCAGAATCATACATGATTTACATACCCGAAAGGGGAACGGATAATGCCAGGGGGGTAGAGTCTATTTTCTTTTTAGAAAGGAGAATCAACGAAAGCATTGCAAAACAACGCAAATCAGAGCAGCAAAGCAACGCAAAGCAACGCAAGGATAACGCAATGCAATGCAACCCAATGCAAAACATGCGAAGCGACGCAAAGCAACGCAATGCGATACAGAGCGATGCAAAGCAATGTAAAGCAATACGGTTGCACGGCGATTGCAGTGCAACGCGATGTGAACGCAACGCAGTGCGACTGCAACGCTGCGCGAGTGTAATGCAACGGGGGTTGCTACGGGGCGGCGGCGGCGGCGGGCGGGAACGGGGTCGCAAACGGGCGCTTCCAATCGGTTCTAAAACGGTTGGATTGCACCGATTCGATTGCAACGGGAGGGGGTGCAACGGGGCGGCGGTGACGGGGCGGCGACGGGGCGGCGACGGCGACCACCAGGCGGCGGACCCGACAACGGAGCTTGGACGACGGGCGGCGACGGGGCGGCGATGGCGACCACCAGGCGGCGGACCCGACAGCAGAGCCCAGTTCTTCAGAAAACGAGCCCCTCAGTGCAAGCACTGTTCGAAAAATAAGGAATATGGATGTAGAGGATGAGGAGGGGTGGAGTGAAGTGTGGGAGAAGGAGGAGGAGGAGGAGGAGGAGGAGGAGGAGGAGGAGGAGGAGGAGGAGGAGGGAGAGGAGGAGGAGGAAGGGCTGGAGGAGGAGGACGACGACGCGCAGTCCACAGCGCACCTCCCCCTCTTCCCATCCCCCTCCGCCCGCCCCCCGCGCCATCCCTCTCCCTTCCATCGCCCTTCCCCCCTCCCACCCTTCTATCTCCCTCCTAGATTGACATGAGGAAGCAAGAGCTCATAGTGGAAACCACTCCTGGTCCCCGAGGTCCTTTCCAAGACGCGCGTTTCATCTTGAATCGTTTGGGAATTGGCCCCCGGGCTGTAGGTGGGCCCCAGGAGGCCGAGAACTGCGAAAAGCCTCCAGGACCCGCTCCGTTTTCGCCAGGTCCCGCCCTCTTCTTGCCAACCTCCTTCCCTCCCTCTGGCGGGGCCGCCGGGCGATTGGTGGCCCCGCTGGACATCCCCCCGCACAGGACTGCTGGAACTGGTGGGCCGCCTCTGGGCTGGAGGGCAAGGTCTGGCCACGCGCAAGAGGGACCCCTCGCTGAAGTGACCTTTTTGGTGCGGGCCCACGGGGGTCCCCCCAGCACGTGGCCTGCACGCTTGGATTAGGCGCCCCAGCGGCCCACAAAAGCCACGCACCCAAAGTCAATCTTGCCTACAGCAAACCCGTACAGTAAGGATGAGCAAGTTTCCAAGGCTACCCTTACATCCTTCCCCTTCAGCCTGTCCTTGGCCGCCTTCGCTGGCCGCGCCCCGCCCGCAAAATGTCAGCACAGCCTCCCAAGGCCCTTGCACATTTTATCGCGCACCCTCAGTATACGGATTGACCACTCTTGCGTGTGGCCGAAAGGTGTCCGGAGCCCACATGACTCCAGCGTGCGCATTTCCGCCGCCGCCCCCGCCTCCGCCCGCGCACCCGCCCCCGGCGCGCTGCGCGGAGGTGCGGCAGGCAGCAGCACGAAGGAAAGGGGCCCTCGCGGGTCCTGCAGGCTCTTCGCCGCTCTCGGGCTCCCAGGATGAGCGCCCGGGAAGGGCTCGGGGTGAAGCATTTGGTCCAAGGCCCCGGGTCCGGGGCCCGCCTTCACCAGGACCCCCGCTTCCCTCGTGTGCCGAAGCCAGTGGGCCCACAGGGTCGCCACGCTGAAGATCGTTGAGCCCCCCAGGCTCGGATGTTGAGCTCAGAGGCTCAGGCCTTGAGCCCGAGAGCTCAGTATTCGAGGACACGCGAGGGTGACCCTTCTCTAGGGGGACCTTTGGAGCTGGGCCGAAGGGGGCGTCCGGGACCGCCCCTCGTTGGTCTTGAGGTGGCGCGACCCCCAGAGGCAGCGCACCAAGGGTCACCTTTGGCCCAGCTCACCCTGACGTGGAGCCCAAATTTGAGCTTGGCGACCCTCTGGGGAGGCGTGCGGCGTGGTCGACGCGTCGACGGCGCAGGGCGTGCCGCTTGCGGAGCCCAAGCGTGAGCACGCCAAGCTGCCGACCGAGCTGGAGCGGCAGGGTCGATACCGAAGAGGAAAACAGAACGAGGAGGAGGACCTCCCGCTCGGCCCCACCTCTGTCCTCTGCCGCCCCGCCCTGGCAGAGGAGGAGAGGACCAGGACCAGGACGCGGACGACGCCCCGCCCCGTCCCACCCACCCCCCCGTGGGGGGTGGAGGGGGTGGCCGCGTTGCCTCCCCCCACCCCACCCCCTGGGCCGACCAGGAAGAAATCCGGCCGCACTTGGCGGCGGCGCTCGCGAGGGCGGAGGAGGCCGAGACGAAGGACGTCGTGCCGCTGCGCTCTGCCCGAGAGCGGCCGAGACTACAGCAGGAGGAGGAGGGAGAGAGGGAGGAGAAGGGGGGAGTGGGAGGAGGAGAAGGGAGGGGGAGGAGGAGGGGAGAGTGGGAGAAGGAAGAGGAGGCGAGGCGGAGGAGGAGGAGGAGGAGGAGCAAAAGGAGGAGGAGGAGGACGAGGAGGAGGAGGCGGACTAATGTAAGCCCAGGACGTTCCAACAATGCTACAATAAACCCTCCCTGCAAGTTCCCTTTTTATAGATCCCTTCAAGAGTGTATCTGCATTGCAAGAAATTCCCAATTGAAAAGCAAGAGTCTGAAAATCCTCAACCGTGCCAGAACACCGCTCCTGAGAGTGCAACGCCGCGAATTAACGTGATTGTTGCGTCCTGACAGCCCTGGGTCGCGCCAGAACACAATTCCTGGGACCTACACACCGTGAATCAACATGACGGTTGCGTCCTGACAGACCTAAATCGTGGGAAACACCATTATTGGGATTTCGTCGTTACAGATCCTGTAAATTGCTGCAGAATTTTAAGACGAATGCGCGCGGCGCTAATGCGAGAGCCACGGTTTGAAAAGGACCCGCCTTCCATACTGAAAATTGTTGTACATTTTAAGACGCATGTGCGGGCGCCAAGGCGAGAGCCACATTTTGACAAACGGGCTGCCCGCCATCCTTGAAGCTGTTACAAGCTTTTGAAGCGAATGCGTGCGGCACTCACGCGAAAGCCACACTTTGGAAACTGCCCGCCCTCTATCCTTGAAACTGTTGCAAATTTCAAGCTTCAGGGTCGCGAGTGGTGAGGAAGTCTCAGACGAAACGCCCGGCCCGCCCTACCGACCCATCTGGGGGTGCGAGGGAGGAGTTATTCAGAAAGAAAAGGGAGAGGAGGAGGAGGAGGTCCTGTTTTTTGCCTTCACCTTGTCGCCTCCACGCACCGCCATGCTTACCTTGCGTAGGCAATTGACCATATGCCAGACCTCTCAGGGCTTGAGCATTGCCCGACGGCCCGACAGCCAGTTAGGCGCCGCCACACCCCCAGGGATAGAAGGCCGTGCGTTTGTCAACTGCTGTGGGCCGGGAGGGGAAGCACCACTAAAACGGGCCAAGCGCCGCCGCCAGTCTGAAGAGCTTACCTCCGCCGTTCGCCTCAAGCCATTTGTGTCTCACTCCCGTTAGCCTGCTACCGCTTTTCGCTTGCACACCATGACTCTGCACACGCTATCGTCCTACAGTTGTCCTTCCACGTGTTCACCACGGCCCGAGCGTCAGCAGAGGATGCAGGCATGTCCGAAGGGAAGCGGTAGAGATAGGTCGGAAGGAAGAGCACCACGTAGACCGGCCATTAACCGCAGCCATCGCACCAGTCTTTGCGCTCCCCCATCATCTCCACGCTTCACTGGCATCAGTCAGCTGGTCCTCAGTTCGCCCAACCCGAACGCTTCCGCAAGCATTCGTCCATTCTACTGGTGTGGCCAGCCGTCGCCACCTCCGCCCTCGCCTCCCTCTTTCTAAATGGTTAAGTCGTGACCATCCGTCATCGCCGCCTCATCGCCCCCCCCCCAAGGGCGGCCGAGGGCTGGGGGACGGGGAACGCAGTTACGCGGCCCCCCTCTGGGGGATCTTCCTTCTGCCATTGGTGTTTCCGCGTCGTTGTTCGATTGTTTTTTTCTAGTTGGCTGAACTCCCCCAGCGGCAACGGCCGCTGGGGGGGGGGGGGGGCAGCGCCCTTTGGCGGGTTCAAATGTCAGCAGCGCCCAGCACCCAGGACAGGAAAGAGGACGAAGAGGAGGAGCGCATCGTCTCCACAATCACGATCATCACCATCATCATCACCACCATTTTGGCAGTGTTGGTTCAAGCCTTGTCCAAAGGAGACCGCCACCTGGAAGGTTTGTCTATGCTCGAAGAGGCCCCTCCCGCCAAGCTCGCCCGCCGTTCCTCACGAACTACGCTCCCGGTCGACGGGGACAGATATCGAAGGTATGTTTTTGCTGCTGCTGCTGCTGCTGGTTCACGACAGGCGCCCGCGCCTCCTGCTGTTGGTCTTTCCGCTGAAATCAATGCATCATCGTGGCCATCAACGCTAGCTTCGGGGCAAGGATAGATGGCAGCGATACCATCGTGAATGATACTACCATTAATGTCATTGCGAATCGGGGAGAACTAGCAGCATGTCAGGCTACTGCTGACAGTCGCCTGGATGAGCTCACGCGCAGAGTCGTCCCCTCTCCGTCATCCGCAGGTGCTGATACGGGCATTGGATTTAGGAGGAAACCGCGTGCAGGAGTTGGCGCTCGTTCCAAGTGGGCTCATCATCGTAGCCGCTGTGCGGTCGTGGTTTGGGGCTTCAAACCTGGTACAAAGCGCGCGGAGATTGTCAATGCGCTACGTACGATCATTACTCGCGCCGTCAACGAGGAGGACGTGTACAGTTCTGGCCAGTTCACGAGCCTAGGCGAGGTAAGTTCAGAAGTCATGATGCTATGTGGCGGTGGATGAAAGACCACGAAGGGCAACGATTCTCCTACACGGCCCCGAGCAACGGGGAGATCAACATGGCAAGCTGCTGACAAGCCGATGGAGGAAAGAGAGTTGTCTGGAAGAGCTTCTCGAGCATGCAGAACCGTGAGGGAGAAGTTCTGTGCTGGTGGAGTCCTGCCTGGATGCTAATTTCTCGGATGATACTGCATACAAGACTATCGTGCCCGATTGGGGTGGTGGCACTCTTCGATACAAAAACCCCGGACGGCATTTAGTCTGCATGAGGAGGACCGGCCGACGCGTCTCCTGGGGGCACCTGATGGAGTCGTAAATTATGGTCTTAATTTGAGTCACTTGCGGTAGGCCGAAGCATTGCAATGCATCAGCTTCCTTTTCAAACTTAGTACGGACACGACGGAGCCCTCACACCCTGTCGGCTGTGCCATAGAATGTGCGAGCTATCAAACGCAATGATTTGACGGAGTTTCGTAGCCTTCTGCCAGAAGATGTACTATTGCGCGCTTTCGGACTGCAGGACTGCACCAACGGTCAACTTTGCCGAGTCTGTGTCGGCAGGCCATCGCTCCTCCGCCATTCCCCTGCAGCGCGGGCAGAGCCGCCCCAGGTTCAGCAGCAATGAAAACCTCTCTGGCGATATCTGGAAAATGGTCGCTCGACAGCGCTCGCAATTAGTTTCCAGCGGCCGTCATCCACAGCCATCTATCGCCGCACCATGCGCACCGACATCCTGATGCCGCGCTTCAGTTAGCCATTGATCTCCGAGAGAGACAAAGATATAGAGAGGGAGGGAGAGATGACAACGGCGCTGCGATCTGGTGCTTGGACGCTACCTGAGAAGGAGGAGCACGACGGACACACTGGACAGAACGCGATTGCTGAGTACGATCCAAGACCCCCTACTTGCTCGCTTCACGTAGTCAGATGGACCTCGCGCTGGCCAACACGCTCGGGCCCACGCGCGCAATTGCCCCGATTGGCCCCCTCGCCAGATTGATCGCATTGGAGCTTCGCGACCGTTGTAAGATAGAGTTCACTGCACTATTTTTGGAATTCCGCAGCCACGAGGGCTTCGGCTTCACTTTTTCCTTCGAACGCTCTGTGAACGCGGCCCCCAGTCAGCCCGGGCAAGCCCATCAACTGGTTCACGCATGACAGCACCCATTCAGAATCTGCCCGGGCCCGACACGGACTACCTTGCGCCGAGGCGCCTCTATCTGAGGCCCTGCATCGCCGGCGCGACGGTGGAGCCGAGCGGGGACGCCGCGGGGACGCCGCGGGAAGCGTGGAGCACCCATCAACGATGGGTGGGACTGGCGTCCTTACTATGGGGGGATTTCCTGACCCGAGTGCCGCACGGAATATTCCGCCTCGTGGGCCAAGGATGTTTGACGCGGGGGCAACCAGGTGCACCTTTTACGCCGCAGAGTTGGCAGTCACCCTCGACTTGCTCCTCTTCCTGATCTTTCGTGAAAAGCAAAGCAGGGGCACCCTCCGACCCCGCTCCGGCATCAACATTCGCGCTGGGGGCGAAGCTGCGGTCCATCCAAACAGTCGCTACGTGGTTGGGCCCCCCGAAGGCCGCTTCCCACCCATAGGGAACGTCATTCTCAGCAGGATCGTTGCACATATGCTTCGACATCTCCAACTCTTCATCGATCCCGAGCTGCAGTGGACTGAAGGTCACGCTAATGGCGCGGGAAATGGGCACGCTGACTCATTGGCCACAGTCGGAGGCGACTCTCAAGTAGCCTACAGGTGGATAGGAAGACCCGGCAAACCGCACTGGTGGAGTGCCGAACAATTCGCGAGATCGTTGGCCATGCCGCTATGCCGCTGGATCGGGGTTGCGCGGACCTGCCTGC